TTAATAAAGTTTGTTTAAAAAAAACAACTACCTCATGGAGATATACCGGAGCCGCTGTCAATCACCTTAGGAGGTGTTTCTGATGATGCCGGGCTGCCTGTGCGTGGGTGCTTTGGGTCGCTCAAAGATAACTTGAAGCTGAACTCCGACCAAAAACGTCTTTTGCACATTTGAACAATATACAACTGTACACAGCTGCTAACTGCAGACATTTCAACTCTCCCGGACATTCCGGGAGTCTCCCGCTATAAGATAGCAGCTTCCGGATGCCCGGGAGAGAAAACTTTTTCTTCTTCAGGTCCTTCTCTGCTGATTGACAGCAGCAGTGGGCGGGTGCAATGGCCAGCTTGCTATTGGCTATTGCAATTTGAAATGGCCAATAGCAGCCTAGCTATTCATTCCCCTGCTATCTAATTTTTTTATAGATTTTTTTTATTGTATAGCATTAGCGCCTCTGCTACTGGCTGGATCTCAAGGTACGAAACCATGAAAAAGATTTGTGGAGAAACTATTTGCATGGTGAGCCATGATGCCAGAAGTAATGAAAATAGATTTTGGGTTTACACAGAGTTTATAGTGTATCTCAAGGCAAGACATTTTTTTAATATTTTGGTAGAGCCTGGATCTTAGCAACCTGGGCAGCTTTGACTGGTGTCCTGCCCAGCTCCTGGCAACCAGTGACATCACTGGTTGCCAGGAGTTGGGTGGGACACTGGCTAGAGCGTCCCATGTCGCCAAGAGCTGGGTGGGGGGATGTGTTTCTGCAGAACTTGCAGAGGGCGGCATGCACACCGCAACTACCACTCCACCACCACCACCTCAGGTGGCAAAAAGGTTAGGGACACCACTGAGGAAACCCTTTCCCAAACCATCCAAAACTAAAACAATTCTTGTCTTGGTATACAAATCTTACACTTCTCCCCACCAGGCTCTTAGCAACCTGGGACTCTCTGGCCAGAAAGGGGGCGGCAGGCACACTGCAAACATTGCCATGCCACTCTACCTGCGGCCCTCCCACATGACTCAAAGGGATGCTGTCAGGCTGCCTCATTATAAGGACCGAACCAGGTTTCCCTTTGAATTCCCATTGGAACTGAAACAGAAAGTGAGGGCAATCCAAAATTTAGACTTATCCCAAGAACAGGTATCCCAATAGGAATAGTTCACCTTACCTTTGTGTTGGGGACAACTGTCTAAGGGGGAATTCTTCTCAGTTTGGGGGATTTCCAGTAACTTCCTTTTGCGTCTCTGGGACAGGAAGTGAAGGGAAATTTCCTCAATAGTAAGCAAACAACAAAAAATAAAGTGGCAGAGGATTTAACCCTTCCCTATTCTATCCAAAGCGAAGGTTTGGGCTATACATAAACTTTAATGTTCTCTGTTAGGCTCTGTTAGAACAAACTGCCATACCATTTAGTGGAATGAAATGTAATAAGGAAAATAATATAAAAGAGATTTTTTCACAATGCATAATTAATGGAAACAGATTTATCTTCATTACAGCCGTACATGACTGTGGGGAGATTCTAACTAAACCAAGATAACAAGAAAACATGATTAAATGTATATGATCTGTGAATCACAATGAATTATACCAATTAGATAAAGGGGGATGAATTGCAAATTAAAGGAGAACTATGAGGGAGGGCGCTTTTCACTCACCTCATAGTTCTAGCCGACCTGTGACAATGAGACTGTCACAGGTCGGCTCAGTAGATCGGGAGATGAGCGAATACATACCGGTGTTCGCTGACTTCTCGATCCTGTCACAGCTCTCTTCCGTGACAGGGGAGGGGTTGGATTCCCCTCTCCCCGCTCCGATCTGCCAGCGCTGACTGGCGGAACGGACGGGGGAGGGGGCGGGTACAGCTGGCTCTGCCTCTAGATAGGCAGAGCCAGCTGTCACTCACGCAGCTTGGCGGATCTCGACATCGATGTCAGAATCCGCCCTGGCTGCGGCGTCTCAGTATACTGTGAGTTGTAGCTCGCGGTATACTGAGCTTAGGGTGACGGGAGGACGCTAGTTTGTGTCCTCCCGTTACCCTAAGGAGAACTATGGGGAAAAGCCCTGACACCATAGTTCTCCTTTAAGATGCTGTGATTGTGTAACTCAATTAGAAATAACAAAATGAAATGCTACCATACTGGATATGTACTTAATGACCGCGCGTAATGAGATACCTTAGTCTCAGCAATATAGAATTGGTCAATTGGGAGAGATTACATAAATAGATCCCGGGGGGATGATTAAAGTTCATTTAGCCAAGTGAAGCTACACTATATGGGTAAAGGTTTGTGGTCACCTGACCACCATACCAATATGAGCTTGATGGACATCCCATTCCAAAACCATGACCATCACACCTATATGTTGATCTGAGCTTGTTGGACATCACATTACAAAATATATGAGCATCACACCTTTATGGGCTAGTCTGTGAAGGTTCTCATTTATCCAGGTTATGGTATATCTGTAAAAAATAAGAGCTCTATAGGAGCTTGTGAGACATCCCATTCCAAAACCATGAGCATCACACCTATAGCAGCTTGTTGGACATCCCATTCCAAAACCATGGCCATCACAATGATCACAGCTTGTTGGACATCTCTTTCCAAAACCATGAGCATCACACCTATAGCAGCTTTTTGGACATCCCATTCTAAAACCATGACCATCACAATGATCTGAGCTTGTTGGACATCCCATTCCAAAACCATGGGCATCACACCTATAGCAGCGGACATCCCATTCCAAAACCATGGCCATCACAATGATCACACCTTGTTGGACATCTCTTTCCAAAACCATGAGCATCACACCTATAGCAGCTTTTTGGACATCCCATTCTAAAACCATGACCATCACAATGATCTGAGCTTGTTGGACATCCCATTCCAAAACCATGGGCATCACACCTATAGCAGCGGACATCCCATTCCAAAACCATGGCCATCACAATGATCACACCTTGTTGGACATCTCTTTCCAAAACCATGAGCATCACACCTATATGAGCTTGTTGGACATCCCTTTCCAAAACCATGAACGTCACACCTATATGAGCTTCTTGGACATCCCATTCCAAAACCATTACCATCACAATAATCAGTGCTTGTTGGATATCTCTTTCCAAAACCATGAGCATTATACCTATATGAGCTTGTTAGACATTCCATTCCAAAACCATGGCTATCAATATGAAGTTGCCTCCTCCTCCCTCCCACTTTGCCGATATAACAGCCTCCACTCTTCTGCACAGGCACTCCTCAAGGGTATATGTGGGAATTTGTGCCCATTCAGCCAAAATAACATTAGTGAGGTCAGGTAATGATGTAGGATGAGAAGACCTGGCTCACAATCTGCATTCCAATTCATCCCAAAGGTGTTCAATAAGTTTGAGGATGAAGCTCTGTTGAGGCAACTTGAGTTCCTCCTCCTCCTCACCAAAGTAGACAAATCATGTCTTTATGGACTTGTTAAACCAAAAGAGCGGTCCTGGCAGCCAATGACTGAAGCAGAGGGGGGGCCTGGCTGTAAAAGGATGCAATGACCTCAACAGCTGGTGTACGCACTGTCAGCCGGCCATAACCCAGCACAGGTAGGCGTCCGCGTTCTGGACCGAACCGCCACAGACCGCAGTCGCGGTCGTGAATGTTCTTGGAGTATGTTCTCTTCTGAGTGAATGTTCTTGGTATTATGTCTCTTCTGAGTGAATGTTCTTGGTATTATGTCTCTTCTAAATGAATGTTCTTGGTATTACAGTATGTCTCTTCTGAGTGAATGTTCTATGAGTATTTTCTCTTCTGAGTGAATGTTTTTGGGGTATTTTCTGTTCTGATTGAGTGTTCTTGTCTCCCTCTGGTTTGCTTTTATCCACTCTGCGTATTTACTCTGCGTATCCACTCTGCGCATTCACTCTGCGCATCCACTCTGTGCATCCACTCTGAGCATAGACTCAGTGCATTCACTCTGTGCGTGGACTCTGCGCATTCACTCTGTGCATGGACTCTGCGCATTCACTCTGCGTATTCACTCTGTGCATCCACTCTGCGGATTCACTCTGTGGATCCACTCTGCGTATTCACTCTGCGTATTCACTCTGCGCATCCACTCTGCGTATTCACTCTGCGCATTCACTCTGCGCATTCACTCTGTACATCCACTCTGAGCATAGACTCAGTGCATTCACTCTGTGCGTGGACTCTGCGCATTCACTCTGTGCATGGACTCTGCGCATTCACTCTGCGTATTCACTCTGTGCATCCACTCTGCGGATTCACTCTGTGGATCCACTCTGCGTATTCACTCTGCATATTCACTCTGCGCATCCACTCTGCGTATCCACTCTGCGTATTCACTCTGCGCATCCACTCTGCGCATTCACTCTGCGCATCCACTCTGTACATACACTCTGTACGAACTATGCATACATTCTGTCTGAATTAACAAACATTCACTTATTAATTTTAGGGATTTTTTCACACTGTATAATGTACAATATAAAAAGCTGTGTTCTCTTCTGAGTAAATTCTCTTGGGGTTATTTTCTCTTCTGAGTGAATGTTCTTGGAGCATGTTCTCTTCTGAGTGAATGTTCTTGGGGTATTTTCATTTCTGAGTGAATGTTCTTGGAGTATGTTCTCTTCTGAGTGAATGTTCTTGGTATTATGTCTCTTCTGAGTGAATGTTCTTGGAGTATTCTCTCTTCTGATTGACTGTTCTATGAGTATTTTCTCTTCTGAGTGAATGTTTTTGGGGTATTTTCTGTTCTGATTGAGTTCTTGTCTCCCTCTGGTTTGCTTTTCCCTGCTATTCTGTCTTTTGACCAGCAGGGGGCGCTCTGCAAACCAGTAACCATTAGCCAGGAGAGGGCAACCGTACATGTGATGTCCCTCTGCGCGTGTGACCTCCGGCCACCAGAGGGCGCTCTACATAGAGGTTTACGTGCAGTGTACCTGTTCTGTAGTGTGTGTGAGTGAGGCCTCCGGCCAGCAGGGGGCGCGCCTCGTCACCGTGTCGTTCTAGCCCACGATCTCTACTCGTTGGCTGTCGGACGCAGCGCGTCATCGTCAGCCACAACAAGCGGGCCCGGATTACGCGTTTCCCCGCCGCCCGAGTGTGTGGAGATTTCCCCCCCGGTGCGTCACGTGACCGAACACCGCCAACATGCCGCGGATTATGATAAAAGGCGGGGTGTGGAGGAACACCGAGGTGAGGAAAAGGGGGAGGGGTGGCATTGCACCCTCACCCCGGGAGGGGAGTTTACGGTCACCCCGGGGATGGCATGGGCCTTCATTACTGACCAATAAGTGGGGATAAATCCGACCTGCCCGCCATCAGGCAACCATGGGGGCCGCCATTACTGACCTCCTTGTAAATGCTCGGTGCCTGGCTCTGTTATGTTCGTCCTCCGGATTTGGTGCTGTATGTTACCGAAATGCTGTTCAGGGTTATTGACTGGAAGTACATGGCGGCCAGGAGAGGAGAGCAATGGCGGCCTCCATAATCCTATCATCATAGGTTCCCTTTAAAGGCATCCTCCACCTTTTGTGCCCACATACATTCCCTCCCCCACTTACCTGATGGCGGGGTGTAGCGTCCTGTTGACTTTTGAATCCTGCGCCGATTTGCTTAGCTCCGCCCACACAGGATCTGTGAAAGGGAGACTACAAGTCCCATCTGCTACCACAGCAGGGGGACGATGAGATCACAGCAATTGTAGTCCATTGTATATTTCGTCTAGACCCATGGTCACATGGCCTTACTAGGTCATTGTCAATGGTCACATGGCCATATTAGGTAAATGTCAATAGTCACATGGTCTTATATGGTCACATGGCCTTACTAGGTCATTGTCAATGGTCACATGGCCTTACTAGGTCATTGTCAATGGTCACATGGCCTTACTAGGTCATTGTCAATGGTCACATGGTCTTGTATGGACCTTATATGGTTACATGGCCTTACTAGGTCATTATCAATGGTCTTATATGGCCGTATAAGGTCAATGGTCACGTGGCCTTATGTGGACCTCATATGGTCACATGGCCATATTAGGCCAATGTCACTGACCAAATGTGGCCATATAAGTTCAAACATGTCAACAGCATCCTCGGCCCTTTGTTTACGTCCAGCTCTAGAGCGGGGAAAACCCTTTAAGTTGCTGACCAAGAACAAACATACATCTCGGTCTGATTGCTTATTTCTAGGTCAGAGTATCAGAAAATAATAAAGCTGTTCAGCATGAGAGACAGACAACCAGTTACGGCATTGACCAAATATGGTCATGTGGCCATTTAGGGTAAGTGATGTCACCAGCATCCCACCCCCTTTGTTTACATTCAGCTGTGGGGAGGGTAATGTCCCGGCTGCAGCTGATAAAGCCGACCCTTCTGGGTTTGGACCCAACCCGAGGCCGTCCCTACCCATCAGTACTGACCGTTCTGTTTCTGGATATAGCAGCAATCCTCCGGGAGAATATCCGTCCCAGATATCTATTTAAAATGAATTAAATGTATTAGAAGCATCGCTAATAGAACTGCCTGAGATCTGTCTTCATATTTTCTTCCCACAATCCCCCATTTCTCTGATACATGAATATAAGTGTCTACCAGTTGTGCTATAGAAGTTCATGTACCTCTAAGGGCTCCTGTTGGCCAGTCCCAAAAGATCTCAAATCCGTTACTATGTGGCGCACAATCCTTTTAAATTTCAAAAAAAATCAACAAATATCCTTTACCCTCCCTGATTAAGCCAAATCTCCCTTTCTTTGTGTCTCACACACTCCCCGTCCCGGACACTGCAGCTCACAGTGGGATGATCTCAGCAACATAAGTTGTGTCAATCCAGAAAAATGGGTGCTGATTGACACGCTATAGTCAGTGACAATGACAGCTATATACCCCCTGCAAAGTCTTGTCATCCCACTGTCATGGACGCAAGCGCAGCCAACACGAGGGTGACAACCCTGCTCTGAATTCAGAGAAGCTTCATTAGCTGTATGTACTGGGAGGCTCAGAAGGTGTTTGTGGGACTTTGCAGGGGGACTGAGAGAAATCTGTAAGCACATTTTTTTTTTAAGGGAGGCCATTGTACTTTATAAAATGTAATGACTGCAGCATGTGCTGGTTACCTCTGATGTCATACAAGCTAACCCTTGCTGCCTTTCTGTACACAGGATGAAATTCTTAAAGCTGCGGTTATGAAATATGGCAAAAACCAATGGTCTCGAATCGCGTCATTGCTGCACAGGAAGTCAGCCAAGCAGTGCAAAGCCCGATGGTAAGTGTGAAGGTGAATACATCAGACGGAGGTCACCCATCAGGACCTGTTGTTACAATGACTCTGCGTAACTCAATCCCAGCTTTATGTACATTGTATCTAAACCTTGAGAGTGGAAAGTGTCATCTCACAGCTTAGCCGTCCTCAGATGTGGCGGCCGCATTAGCTTTCAGTTTAGAGGCTTTTTTCCTTTTATTTTCACTGGGTGATCCTGCGAGGAACACACTTCCTGCCTTATGGTGACCATACACTGTGCAAATTTCGTCCGGTTCTTGAGTGTTGGGCTGCGGGAAAGTTCATTGTTGTGTGGGCAGGGGGTGTTGAGGGCCGTGTGGGCTGGGGGTGTTGAGGGCCGTG